CCCCAGCGGCGACCACGCGCGCCGGAGGCCCTTCTGCAGTCTCTGAACACTGCGCCGGACACTGCGGAGAGAGCCGGGCCCCCAGCGGCGACCACGCGCGCCGCGGGCCCTTCTGCAGTCTCTGGACCCTGCGCCGGCCACTGCGGAGAGAGCCGGACCCCCAGCGGCGACCACGCGCGCCGGAGGCCCTTCTGCAGTCTCTGGACACTGCGGAGAGAGCCGGGCCCCCAGCGGCGACCACGCGCGCCGGAGGCCCTTCTGCAGTCTCTGAACACTGCGCCGGACACTGCGGAGAGAGCCGGGCCCCAGCGGCGACCACGCGCGCCCTTCTGCAGTCTCTGGACACTGCGGAGAGAGCTGGAGTGAGTGAGTGGAGTGAGTGAGTGGAGTGAGTGAGTGGTGAGATCTTGTGTTGTGTGTGTGTGAATGTGAGATGTGAGATCTTGTGTTGTGTGTGTGAGTGAGTGAGTGAGTGAGTGAGTGAGTGACAACATGAGTGTGTGTCAGATGATCACAAGTCACAAGATGAGGGAAGGAGCGAGGGACGGAGGGAGGGACGGGCGGGACGGGCGGGCGGAGTCGGGCGGGATGGCAGCCAAAAAACTAGAACCCCACACAGAGATGTGGGGAACAAAAAGGAACACCATGTTCACTTCATCCGAAGTGTAACATGGTGTTTTTGTTGCAGTGAGAAACTACTTGGGGACACACATCATGAGCCCCTTGCCATACACATTGGTTTCACGTCCCATCTGTCACCCTTGTCACCCACCGGTGCACCGGACCGGACCGGGTTCACCGGTTTCCTCGATCGCTGGCAGGGTGACTCCGATAAGCTTTTAGCGGAGCTCACCGTGGAGTTCCTGGGTCAGGAATGGGAGGCCGGTGCGCGAAAACCATCGCGGTTCTTCGTCCGTGAAAAGGCAAGACATGGTCGAAAACACCTGAGATGGGGGACTGAGATGGTGCCAAGTTGGGGGACGGAGATGGGGGACTCAGATGGGGGGACTCAGAGTTCTAGAAACATGTTCACCTCATACCCCTTCCAAGTGGACACGTGTTTGCGTGCGTGAAAGCAAATACCGAAACGGTGCTCTTTGAGGTACGTACAGCAATTTGTGGGTTTCCGAGTGTTTTGATCATGTTTTATCCAAGAGAGCAGATGCTTCTCAGACGGGTGAGGACTGGATCCTCCTGGGGCTTTCTCTCCTGGGAACCTGTTCGAATAGACCGTGCGACACGTCACTCCCAAGTTTGAGGACTCTGGTGGCTCTTCAGGGGTGCACCATGACCGCGCGTGCGTGCGACATGAGAGGATCCTATGAGAACCGGTCAGAGCTTGTTTGGGTGTTCAGGTCGCGCCAATACCCTGTCCATGCCGCACCACATTGGCTCAGACTTGACGCTGGCGTCCCACGGTGGGCAGCTCGCCGAACGCCTTCGCCTTCGCCGCGCCGCCGGCGCGTGCAGCTCCGCGCCGGCGAGCGATGGGTGCGGGTGCGACGACCTCCTCGGTGGAGGCGTTGGACGACGAGCAGCTGCTGAGCGTCCTGGCGGCGGACGTGCCACGTGCCCGCGTGCTGCTGGCGCTGGCGGAGCGTGCCCAGCGGCTGTTGTGGCTGAGCCAAGAGATGGGGTGGTGGTGGTGCTGCTGGTGGTAAAGGTGACAATCTTAAGCAAATCTAAGAGTACGTTGTGAGCTAAAGGAATACTTCCTGATTTGCCCCTGCCGTTCATCGCCTTTCAGCCTCTGTTCCATTCCAACCTAGGGCACCAGGGCACCCCGCTTCTCCACCGGTCGTTTTCATCCGCCCAAACCCACCCCAAGGCCAGAGGCTGACGCGCGAGCTCGTCGTGGCGGTGCCTGGGCTCTATGTTGGAGCTCTCGGAAGAGGAGAGGGCGACGGTGACCAGCGTCACTTGGGCTGAATGGTTTGAGGATCCGAGAGGATCCGAGTTCGGATCCTTGAATTCGGGTGACCTGTGCTGTTTTTTTGGGTTGAACTGTGGTGCATACAGAACATACATCGAAGATAAAAAGAGCGTGATGATCTCAAAGATGATCACAATCACAAGATATCACAAGATATTTTCCAGAAGAGGTCCATGTGGGTGTTTATTTCAATAGAAGGAGCCCCGACCAATGGGTTGGGTCTATTTCCATTCTTCCGGAAGGCCTTTGGGATGTCTCCCTACGATATGTTAATTAGTAATTAGTTTGTTTGAGCCGATTTGCTAGCTCTCCTCTGGAGTTGAAAGGGTTTTGATGGGTTTTGGTACCCTTTTCAGGCCTCAACTGGCAACCTCTTTGACGGTGTCAGATCATCTGAGATTGCTCCATTTGTCGCATTGAGCCGGGGCCCGGGGTTGGAGGGGCTTTTTGTTTGTTCCTGTGCTGGGCACAGGTAGAGGACCTCTACAAAATGATTGCAGCGCAGAGTGGCCTCAAAGCAGGGCGAACCCTTGTGCTGACATCAGGGGCCAATGTCCTTGATGACTCCAAACCACTGCTCGAACAAGTTTGTGACGATGAGATCATGTGTGTTTTCAGGCCGGTTTCTGCTGGAGAAGCTGTTGCCAGTTTGCAGCAGGTCTTTCACGAAGCAAGAAGGACAGAAAACTTATGTGCTGCAGGTCTAAATGCCTTGAATGCCATTGCGTCCTTAAGTTTTACCGCCTGGTTCAACCAGAGCTTGCAAGGAGTTCCGCTGCCAAGCAGCTTGGACACACTGACCTTCGGCGGGCACTTTGACCAGACCTTGGCGGGCGCCGTGCTGCCAAGCAGCATAAAGACTTTGAGCTTTGGTGACACTTTTGATCGGAGCTTGGCCGGTGCCGTGTTGCCCAGTGCCTTAAAGGCTTTGACCTTTGGCAAGGCTTATGACCGGAATTTCAATCGTGTCACGCTGCCGGAAGGTCTGCAGAGCTTAACCTTCGGCAAAAGCTTCAACCAGGCCTTGCGCACTCTGCTGCCAAGCGGACTGCAGACTTTGACCTTTGGCGCGCAGTTCAACGAGAGCCTAGAAGGTCTGACGCTTCCAAGTGGGCTGCAGACTTTGAGCTTCGGCGATGACTTTGATCAAAGCACGGAAGGAGTCACGCTACCCAGCGGATTAAAGACCTTGATCTTCGGTTTGCGCTTCAACCAGAGCCTGGAAGGCGTGGCGCTTCCTGATGGACTGCACATCTTGAAATTCGGTAGCGACTTCAACCAGAGTTTCCATGGTGTGCTACCAAATGGCTTGCAGACTTTGACTTTGGGAGACGAGTTCAACCAAACGTTCGAACATGTCGTGCTGCCATTCGGCCTGCAGGCTTTGACCTTTGGCCGTCGATTTGACCAGTGTTTGGATGGCTTGGCGCTGCCGAGCAGCCTGCAAACCTTGAGCTTCGGAAAGGAGTTCAACCAGCCGATCGATGGTGTGAAGCTGCCAAGCAGTTTGCAATCTTTGGTCTTCGGTCTAGGCTTCAACCAGAACTTAGAGGGTCTGCCAAGTGCACTACAGACATTGATTCTTGCAGATGAGTTCAACCAGAGACTGGCAGTCCCATGGCCTGGAAGTTTGCAGACGTTGATTGTCGGCTCAAAGGCCAAGGAGTGCTTGGAAGGTGTGACGCTGCCCAACACCTTACACAGTCTGAGCTTTGCCTTTAAGTTCAACCAGAGCTTACGAGGCGTCACCCTGCCAAGCGGCTTGCAGAATTTGACCTTTGGTGATGAATTTGACCAGAGCTTGGAAGGTGTCACACTGCCAAATGCTTTGCAGACCTTGACCTTTGGTGAGAAGTTCAACCAGAGCTTGGTAGGTGTCGCACTGCCAAGTAGTTTACAGACTCTCATCTTATCACGGTTTAACCAGAGTTTGGCAGGAGTTGTGCTACCCGACAGCTTGCAGACTCTGATTCTTGGGGAGGACTTTGACCAGGAGTTGGAAGGTGTCACACTTCCGCACAGCTTGCAGACTCTAACTTTCGGTCACAAGTTCAACCAGAGGTTGGAACCCGTCTTGCTGCCAAGCGGTTTGCAGACCTTGACTTTTGGCCATTATTTCAACATGAGTTTGGAAGGCGTTGCATTGCCAAGTGGCTTGCAGACTTTGACCTTGGGCGATGGATACAACCAGAGCTTTAAAGGCGTCATGCTTCCCAGCAGCCTGCAGACTTTGACCTTCGGCCATTGCTTCAACCAGAGTTTCAAAGCTGTCGTGCTGCCCAGCAATCTGAAGACCTTGACGCTTGGCTTTAGCTTCAATCAGAGCATGGAGGGAGTTCACTGGCCCCCGAGCTTGCAGTCTTTGTTCTTTGGCGAGTGCTTCAAGCCCTCAAACTTGGTGCCCTCCCAGCTGCCCAGCAGCCTCCAGACTCTGCGCTTGAAGGAGTTTGAGGTCGACCTTCACGTCGGCTGAGGCGGCCTCCGAACAACGGCGGCCGTTGAGGTGTCCTGGAGAATCTGGAGATTTGTTGTAGTTTTGTATAGACTAACTTGCAGACTCTAACTTGCAGACTCTGATTCTTGGGGAGGACTTTGACCAGGAGTTGGAAGGTGTCACACTTCCGCACAGCTTGCAGACTCTAACTTTCGGTCACGAGTTCAACCAGAGGTTGGAACCCGTCTTGCTGCCAAGCGGTTTGCAGATCTTGACTTTTGGCCATTATTTCAACATGAGTTTGGAAGGCGTTGCATTGCCAAGTGGCTTGCAGACTTTGACCTTGGGCGATGGATACAACCAGAGCTTTAAAGGCGTCATGCTTTCAACCAGAGTTTCAAAGCTGTCGTGCTGCCCAGCAATCTGAAGACCTTGACGCTTGGCTTTAGCTTCAATCAGAGCATGGAGGGAGTTCACTGGCCCCCGAGCTTGCAGTCTTTGTTCTTTGGCGAGTGCTTCAAGCCCTCAAACTTGGTGCCCTCCCAGTTGCCCAGCAGCCTCCAGACTCTGCGCTTGAAGGAGTTTGAGGTCGACCTTCACGGCGGCCGTTGAGTCCTGGACAATCTGGAGATTGGTTGTAGTTTTGTATAGGCGATCTAAAACCCCTCAAGGGGTCTCACTGGGCTTGCAATCGCTGGAAAAAGAACTCGAGCCTTCAAGTCTGACCACTTTAAACTGGATTTTGCGGAGCCTTGGCCGAAACGGAGAATGCTACAACTGGTTTGATGAATACCTTCCTCTCGTTTTTGTGGTCAATGGCCAACATCCAGTACTTGTATCATGAAGTTCTTCTGGCACATTCCGTTGTTCCCCATTTCAATGTTTGTGGTGAGTGAGTCTCTGACTCGGGGCAGAGACTTTTGGTCAACTTGCACATGTCGAAACCTTCCAAACTTGCTCTGGTCTCTACAAGCTGCTCCTCTACAAGCTGGGTGGGTGGCTGGGAAATTCGACCAGCTGCGGCTTCCTTCGTCCCATCGGATCTGCCGACTCGCCAGGTCTGGCCGCACATCATGTCGCGATGGTTATTGCGCAGCTTGGGTGTGAAGAGCTGAGCGACGCTTCGCGCAGCTTGGGTCGCGGGTCGCTGCCCCGTGCCCCCGGATCGTCGGGTATGTAGAGATGTACTGATCGATGTATCTCTGTATCTTTGGTCTGGAGGCGTTCCATCTGAAGTCACCCTCAAGATCGATCCGTTGGGGGCCCGTTGAAAAGGGGTCCATGGATCATACACCACCGGTCCGGGACTGCCGGACCGTCGAGAAACGGCCAAAAGTGACTGGAAGTTTGGGGTGAATAGGGCGGGAGTCCGTCCTGGCAGTCCCAGACAGGTCATGTCTGGGAAAGGACACCTAGGCCCGTCCCGATCTTTTGGGCAATCGCCACGGCGGCCGTGCGTGGCCGTGCGTGGCCGGTCTCGACCGGCGGCAGAGCACGGCCTGTGGGGTGCTTCGACGATTGGTCGACGATGGAACTGTCTGAGGCGATGGTCTTTTTGTATTGGCACCTACACAGTGACTGTGCCTGGACATGTTGATCCTAACCCAGAACTTCCAGTGACTCATGAACTACTCCACCTGGTAGTCATCACGTGTCGTCTTCTCCCTATCACCACCAAGGGGAGACGTTGGTGGTGAATGGACTCCTAGGGTAGGTGTAACCTTGGACAGTCAAACTTTTTACTTACCCTCCCTCCAACAAACATGGTGGAAGTGGAACATGGCCTCGACTGGTTCAGACTGTTTTCCTCTACCAAACCGGTGGTGCCATCCACTGCCATGATTGTTGCCTACCTTTCCCCAAAAAAACAAACGATCCGTCTAACCTGTCAGAAGGAGTTCACCATGGGTTCCACGTGTGACGTCCCCGCATTGTCGTGATTCTCCCGATGGAACTGGACGGACAGATTACCACGTGAACTGGACCGGCGAGACGGAAGAACGTGGTGGGAGACCGGCCTTCCCACAACGTGTTCCAGGCCTTCGCCTCGTTCTTCTTGTTCTCCTCAGACTGGGGCTGCATGCTTGGGACTGCCAAACATCGTCCGTTCACGTTCAGTTCACGTGGTCGCCCCTAGGGTACTTCGACGAGCTCAAGAGCTTTGCCAATTACTTGGCACTCGACGATCAGCAGGCGGGACCCCGAAGCGTTTCGTTCTCCGCGGCACGGCGCCACCCGACGCGTCGTCGGTGCTCTCGCGGCGGCGGCTTGCTGCGAGATGACGGATGTTTGGCTCAAAGGGGGTTGAGCCAACGGGGGGCGAGTCCATTAGTCTTAGATGACGGATGTTTGGCCCGCATGTGTCGGTTCAACGTGCCATGCTTTGCAGATCTTGAGGCAGAGTCTGGTCCCACCGAGTGACGACGGTTCCTAGGGTCCCATCAAGGCCCATCAGGCCCCCAAAAACATCCATCCGCTTCGGGCAGAGGCAGGCAGTTGGCCAATCTGAGTGACTTGAGAGATCCAAGACACATGTACCAGCACCCTCCTGGCCAGGCTGTTTGAAGACCCTAACAGGTGGTTGCTGGGCATTTGTCACCACGAAACACCTGTTGGAGGGTCCAGGTAGGGATTTTGGTCATAGTATCTCATTTTTGAGGGTTGAATGTGTCGCACCATTTCATGAGCAAATTATGATTTCAGCGATGATTGTATCACCAAGGAGGCACAGAAGAGTATGTTTGTGACATCTCCACTCTAGGCTTTCTTCCCACCACTTCCCACACTCCACCGGTGCAGCTCGTGACCGACACACCGCGACCAGCGACACCGCGGGAGCGGCTAGGTGGAGAGCATCAAGGCACGGAATCCGGAGCTGGAGAAGAAAAGCTTCCTGACCCTGCGACCGGATCGGCGCCAGGCCGGGGGGGTGGAACCGAGGTCTGGAGACCAAGTTTCACAAGCAAGGGTCATGGGATGCACCTGTTCACAGTCGACGGTTTCGTCCGGTATGCCCTGTAACAAGTTGTTTTGGGGGGAAGGAATGGACTGGACTTGGGATTCTTAGCAGAATTTCACACATCTCTTAACACTGCTACTAGGGTGCATTGCTATTAGGTTCGAGGCCATCACTACTGGAGGTCATTGCCATTGGGTTGGAGGTCGAAAGGAACTCTCGAAGGTGGGTCCACCACGAGGCACCTGGGCGCCTGGAGTTCCATGTCATGTTCCGGTAGTGCCCTATATTATGTTTACAGTGGTTTCAAAGTAGACGGCACAGACCGAAACCGATGTCCTGAAAACATGGGGGTTCATATAAACCACCGACATTGGGGTCTGTGCCATTGGTCCTCTCAATCCACTATTAAGCCTTTCAAACGAAGCCTCGAGCTGCACATCAGATGACCACGGCCCCGAAAAGCTCGGATGCGTCTTCCGGTCTGACCGGGACGGACTGCCGAGTTTCACGGCCAGGGGTGGTGCCAGGTCAGGGCGGCATATATGGCAGTCCCAAACGGGTTGTGTCTGGGCGATAGAAGATCCTTTCGGCAGATTGTGAGCTCCGCTTCGGCCCGGAGGGAGAATTCGCGATGCACAGGCCTACGTGATGTGTGGGGTGGTGCAAGCGCCTTTGCTGTACCTGGCCACCAACGACAACGTGGTGTCCCTCCAGATGACTGCGGATTTCGTGGGGAGCCCCTTCTACCCCAACAATGCACAGGTGCAGTATCAGAAGGCGATGACCGGGCGGCTTTCTTTTGGGTCTTTATTCCAGTGCCAGGGGTGGGTGAGTGGAGGCTTTGCCAAAAGAGTAGAGTGACACTGGGCACGCGTGTTTGTGTGTGTGTTTGTGTTCCTTCTGTGTAATTCAATGTAATTTGATTGTCTCAAACTTTCTCTCTCTCTCTCTCTATATGACAAGTATACCAGGACCATCCGACCATCGGGGTGTCCTGGCTGGACTCCCCCACACTACCTATAGGCGCACACCGACATGGCACTCCGACAGGGTGGTCCAGGTAGCCTTTACATGCCTTTATAACCATCATCCACAGGGCCCAGGGAATGGGATATACCCCAACTCTTGACTATTCTATCTATCTATATATATATATATAATATGATGTTCGATAGACACAGCTGCCCACCTCAGCTGCCAGGGTGGTTTGAAACCCGGCCAGACGATCCATCGATCCATTGCATATGACCTAGGACCTATCACCAGATGACCTATGATCATTCCATGCATATGAAACCTTGGAACATGTCGGTTCCTGGAGGGATGGTAGAGATGTTGCAGCATATGTTGCAGCATGCCTAGAACCCAGACATGACCTCTGTTTTGATAGGAAGTTGGACCCCAAAACAGGGGTCCATCAGGTTTCTTGGTATATAGAGACCATATGTGCGCCACCATGGATCGTTTTGGGTAGGGTTCTAACTACTATGAATTGAATAGGCAGAATCCCGAATAACCATAGGTTTTACATGGTTTTACTATAGGGATTTCCACTACAACACTAGGTCAACGACTTTTGACATGTTCTTTGAAGGCTAGGGAATGCTGGTATTCATACCTCCCCATTGTAGAACCTCTGAAGAGGCCTTGGGGGGTTGAAATTTGTCATAAACAGTCCCTAGGGCTCCTGAGATTCGGTGGTTGGGGTGGGTGCCAGGGGGTCCAAACACCGAACCTGAGGAGACAGGGCCAGGAGCCCTAGGGAGTGGGTTTGAGCATCTCCCACAAGTCTATCCCATTATGTAACTTGGGTCCCAGTTCAGGTCTCTATTGGTGTTCTTCCAAGGGTCAACCACCTGGTAGACCAGCCAACCAGCTGGGGTGGTCGCCAGGCTCCCATTTGCCCTTGCGACAAGTGTCTCTACAAGTGTTGCACAATGAAGCGGACTGTTCCTTGGGCAGGGAGCGGAGGATTCTGGAAGAAGGTCTAGAACAGGTGGTTTCGGATGGATAGCACCAGCTTGAGCACCGCTTAGATGTTTGGGATTTGCTCTATCCCATCATGCGAAATGCAATCATTATTCTTTAAAGAAGAACATGAGATCTTTGGGATGCAAAGAATCCTTCGGAGTTGCGGCACCCGGGTCGATGTGTGGAACCCTGAACCCTGGGACTTCTGAGAACGGGATGAGTCGATGGAAAAAGCGGGGGGCAAACCCTTTCCAAACCCAGTTCGGGGGGGTGATCACTCTCGATTGAACGAGCTCGATCCAATTCCGTGCGGAGAGGTGCCGGTGCCACGTCTCCCGCCCGGGTCCTCCCCCGGGTCTCCGGTGGGCGCGCGGGCGGGCGTCTGGGTGGTCGCCAGACATGGGACGTGGAGAGAAAACCCTTCACCAGCGGTGAGAGAGGCTGCACCTAACCTGGCATGTGACATGGGTTCATCGGTTCACCTGGACAATTTGGAGAGTTCCACGGATCAAGTTCGGTCGCCTATCCATGAAGCTGATGGATCGATGGGTAGTCACATCGTCATGGAAGTCAGATGGACCAACCCCGGAAAACGGCGGTGACTCCGGTATGTCTTTTTTTTGGCAAGAATTTAGGTCCAATGCCCAAACCCCTTTGGTTCTTGGGGGAAGAATAGGAGGACGATACACGTTTTGTTGGACTGTTACACCTGACAGCCTGGTCGTTCGCATCAAGAGATGCTCCACAGTCCACAGAGTTTCTTAGTAAATAAAGTTGGTCAAGACTTTGTGGCTGGTATTTTTCCACTCCCAGACACTCCATAAAACTGCCATATATGCCTACATTGGGGTGGTTCACTGGGGGTCAATGGGGTGGCATATATGGCAGTCCTAAACGGGTCGTGTTTGGGACTGGTTGGACCGTTGGACAATTGGTCGCCTCAATTGGTCAGGAGTGTTCCTCTGTTCCAACAGTCGACTGCTGCCTGAAGACGATCAGCACATGCGGAAGGCCCATACCGTATGGCCCAGACCCAAACCAATCACGGGACTGGAAAGATTACATTCATTCATTTACGCCATGAAAATGACCCCTAAGGTAGCTACTCCAGTCCTCATGGCGATTCTTTCTCTTCAAGACTGAAAGAAGATCTATAATATAAAAGCTAGCCCTATGGATCCAAGTACCTTTTCAGAAGGCACCTGGACCCTGGCACCCACCCCAGTCCCACCTGAGAAGCTACGACTGGATCCCAAACGGGCGGAATTATGGGGTCCCGCGTGGGGTGACCAGATGGGGTGGGAGGTCCCCCCCTATTCTCACTGACTCTCACCCGGCCGAGCATCCAGTCGGTGGGACTCGAACCCGTACTCCCACCCGCGGCGCCGTCCAGGTGGGTGGTGGCTTCGTCGAAAGCTTCGCCTTTGGGGGTGCGGCACCGTCTGGCAAGGGGCAGATGGGCGGCGAAGGCGGGAGTTCCGGGGCAGTCTAGCTGGGGGATTGAAGGTTGAACGGAGTGCGTGGGGAGCAACAGGGTCATGGTGCCATCTTGATTGATTGATTGATTGATTGATTGGGTACAGTTTCTCTGGGCAAAATGGCGCCAGGTTGAACACGGCCATAGTCCTCTGCAAAGCGCGACAGAAATTGTAGTATACACAGCCGTGTGTTCTATCCTTCCCCCTCATTGAACATGGAGTTTCTTTTGAGTCTCAGACGTGTTCGGTTCACCTTCTTCATGACCCAAGGCCAAGGGCCCTGGAGGCGGCCAGGGCCCCCCTATTTGTAGTGACGACATGCCGTCCACCTCGCAGTCCAGCGCGGCGCTAATCCCCATACCCTTTTCCCGACCCGTCTTTTCGGGTGAAGAAACACACGGCGCCGTGACACGCGCGGCGCTAAAACGCGCCGTGTCTTCTTCACCCAGTTAAGAAGTTGGGCAACATGTGCCCCATGAAGCCTCCCCAACAAACTGTGCTCATGATTCTGATCCCAGTGGTCATGTGACCCTTCCTGGAAAGCACGCATTGCATCACATTGCCACATTGGCGCAAGCCATTCTGCATGGACATGGTCAACACGTGGGCGCTTCCATCTCGAGCCTTGGATCCTCTTGAAAAATGTTGGTTCCTGGAGCAACATGGTAGAGATGTAAAGCAGATGTCTATATGCCTAGAGCCCATTTGACACCTGTTTTGATAGGAAAAGACAAAACAGGGGTCAATCAGGTTCTAGGTATATATATCTATATATCTTTATAATGGTCGAGGACGGGCAGAATGCACACGCCTGCAGCCGTTTCACATTGCACACCCCCACATGCATCATACTAGTGAACTTGGTCTTTCCTTGTGTCTTGTTCTCTTGTTGCGCTTCATAGAGCCCGAGGACCCTGGTTGACCACTGAAAATGAACGAAATAGACAGGTCAACCAGCCCCCAGGTTTTGACCTACAGTTACTTGTTGATTGGTCAGAGCATGATGGAGAGTTCACCGGTGACCATGGCATCAGCTTCTCCCGTGGTGTGCCAGGCGTCTCCGTGGGGGCCCCTGAGAAACCCTTCTCTTTGCCCTATGCCTGTGGTATCAGTGACTTGGTTTTTGCGGGATAGGGGAGAAGGGCGGCACGCAGTGTGTGCCGCTTATGATCTGTATGGAAGATGTTTTTCCACAACTTACCATACCCTCCCTCAGCGCCACACAGATTCTTCAAGCTGCCTTGGAGTTGGGAAGAACATCGAGTTTCTCATCAGGTCAATATGTGGACATGCATTGACATGTGAATCAACACTTCAGAAGACTTGTCATACACCTCTTCATAATTCCCCACTATCGGTGGTGTTCACTAAACGCAACGAATTGTGTAAACATAATAAGTTCCAGGCGTCCTGTGTCTGATATCAAACCACATATCATCAGTTTCATTTTTGCTTTTGTGATTTTACACAACCACAACATCGAACTCCTTGGTTTCTCCTCCAAAACCTATCCCACCCGTTCGAAAGAGGTGTGTGAATTGCGGATCCGTTTTGGACCAAAGTTCCTTTCTCAACTTCAGGTAGCTGGGCTCCAGGTCAGTTGGGAAACTCCACTGACATCTTGGCGGAGATCGGCAACATCCGCCGCGCGGTTTGGCGCTGGACGGTGTTTCCTGGTGGCCACAAATGCCCAGAACCACCTGTTCGGGGTCCCAAAAATGGCCTGGCCTGGCGGGTCCTGACACATGGGCCTTCATGTCGGGCCAGCCAAGAGACCCCCGGAGCGGTGCTGGCCATACCCTGGGGAGTCCGGGAAAGACGACCATTTTTGCAGAGGTCTGACGAAAGGTGATCTGACTGACTTAAGGACTTGCCGACAAATACTTGGGTGGTGCCGAGTAGATCGTCCTAGTCTGTGGACTTCCAGGGCCTTCTGGCTGCCGGAAGTCCGGCACTTTTGGGAGAAGAGAGACATCCCTCTTTTTCTCATCACCGTTCATCACTCCCCAAATGTGCCAGAAAATGACAAAGCCATCAATTAAGGTATGCCACCCAGGTGTTCAGCGGAGCTGCTTTGCTGCTTTCGATTTTTCTTGAGATGAGTACTTGATGACCTCTTGTTTTGATTGACGAGGTGTTTCTCTTGTCTTTTATCATCTACGCAAAATCAAGAGGTGGAGATTCTCCCGCTCTTCCTGCTGCTCGAGCCACACTAGATTCAATAGAACCTCAAAAACTCTTCCTGGTTCACGTAAACTGCATGAGAAAGCTTCGCCTGGCCGGCCTTCATTTTCTTAGTCAGCGGGATAAGACGAAGAACAACCGTTCATCCAGAGTTTGGGACCTGAGAACAGCCGACTAGACCCAGGGTTTGGATGCCTTCTTCCACCAGCCGACCTATCTAGGAGTTCAGTGGACCTGCAAAGCCCTGTTGTACGAAGATTGGGGACACCCCACTCAAAACGAAGAGGTAGGTGGAAGAGGGTGAACCTTCATTTTCCATCCTTTTCCAGGGAAGGCTGAGGGGGGCAGTCACCTGATCGGTCAACATGCCAGCCCCCAAGTGATCTCGTTTGCGAGAGCTTCCCGGGTAGATCACACCGAAGAAAGAGATCTTAACAACAACAAACATCCAACCCCCAAACCTAGACACTCCACGGGACTGGAAGATATGCCTCCGACCCCTGAAATCCACCACCCCCAGATCGCCAGTTCCCAGTTCGCTCGGTTTGGACACCGTGCACATGACGTTCCACCAGCTCCAGCGACCCAAACTTGCGAAAAGTGGATGGTTGGCCCACCTGTAAGGGAAGCCCTATTGGCCAATGCTGCCGCGCCTGGGAACGACGGCGGAGTGCGCGCGCGTCGCGTCGGGCCCGTCGCGTGAAGCGTCCGAACGGCCATGTTCGGAAGACCTTTTGGCGGGGAAAGGAAGCCTGGGGAGACTTGATGCGGCTTGAAAGCGCCACGGTTTCCACTATAGAGGGCTTGGACATGCGCTTGGTAGTGCCCTTTTTTGGAGGTCACTGACTTAGTGCGCAGGTTTGAGAGATGGGGGAAATGGGTGGATCATATCGGCCTCACGGCATTGTCTTCAGGGCCAGTGGCGGGCAGTGGTGGAATGCCCTCTCCGCTCCCCTCCCGGGGGGGCTCAGGGGGCCTGGGTGTGCTGTTGGCCTCACAAGCGCACCTGCCAGAAGACTATGGGTCCAAGTCCTGCGGTCCAAGTTGCAGACCCAGGTTCTTTTTTATTTGGTGGTCCCTATCATAAATAGAATAGAAACATGTTAATATATGTTAATGTTCCAAGTTTTATATGGGGATCAGTCTACCTTTCTATCGATTTAAGGCACCCAACTAGTTGAAATGTCTATGAAGCCCTGCAGGGTACTTGCAGTCCATTCATTGCAGCTTCCATTCTTTCAGATTCATCGAATTCGATCTCGTCGCACCATCCAACAGAACTTGAGAGACAGCGGTACATATGGGATAGGACTAGGGCTGCTCACCCTCTCCAGGGTCTGTGAGCACCATTGGTTGCCCGCAACCCATGCAACCGCTGCAGGCAGCCGCAGCCCGCGCTGATGTACGAGCTGGCCGCCCCCCCGGCGAGGATCCCACGGACCGGGTGGGGTCGAGGAACGCCCGACGTCGGGAGTGTAAGACCCCAGGTGGTTTTTGGGGTGGTGAATCTGAAATACCCTGTAGAAGTCCGAACTAAGACTATACTTTGCCATAGTGAAGTAAAGGCAATTCCCTTTCAGGCACCCTAGTCAGACCATTCTTTTTGTAGTCTTTGACTCGCAGGGTATATACCTAGAACCTGAATGACCTCTATTTTGGACCACAAAACCACCCCCAAATATGGTCTTATCCTATCAAAACAGAGGTCAAATGGGTTCCAGGTGGGTCATATGTTCTTGCCAAAACCCTTCCAGTGATCTCTTCTAGTCCAAGAAAACACTCCTGTTGCACTGCGCTGTGGTAGTAACTGGTAGTAGTTGCTGCTATAGCTAGGTCCTTTCTGCCGGAGCTGCCGAGGATGGGGGGCTGATTGACAACTCGGGGATCCTGAGCCAACTGCAGCGGAAGGCCTCCAGGATAGCGCCTCGATGCAGACGGCGCGTTCGCCCAATGTCGTACAGGCTGTGATAGATCTATCCCTAAGGATCCACATAATTACTCTCTGAGAAGGTGGTTGGAAACACTTTCATGTAGCCTTTGGAGGGTTCCAGTCGTACCGAACCTGAGGTATTGTGGCAGTGGATCGCTTTTGGGTGTATATAGGTTGGTGGCGGAACTGGAGTAGACACGGTCGGGTTTTTGGATAGGGGCATTCACTGCCAGCGAGATGCAGGATACGAGGTAGCAAGGGGATTCAGTCATATTCATTCATATATTCAGTCTATTTGTTGAGTTTTAAATAGGTATCTGCAGCATGCAGTTCCCCAAAAAGCGGATCTATCCAGTCATGCCTTTGAACATGTGTTTTTCCAAAGAAGCGTTCAGCGTTGATGGAAGTCCGACGCCCACGACGCCTGTTGTCGTGCGACCCTACAGACGATTTCTGGACCTCCTATTCAAAGAAAATCATATCCAACACCTCCCAGGGTTCGATTCCAAGCATTCAACATCATTCAACCCCTAATTAGGGATCCAAGTACCTTCTCAGGTACGGTGATTGGAGACTCTTTATGTACGCTTGGAGGGCCCAAGTACCTCCTGAGAAGGTATGTGGATCCCTACAAAGCCAGCCCTGCTTGCCTGCTTGCCACTGCTGCTGCCCATCAGCCCGCGCATCAGGTGGCCACCTTTCCGGCTGAGCACGCGATCAACGAGTCCTACGACTGGGCCAACGCCACGGCGACCAGCTTCGACCCCAAAACCGCCGGCGTCTGCGACACGCTCTACGCGGCTCGGCGGAGGTCGATGCGGAGGTCGGCGGTGGGGCGGTGGTGAGGTGGGTGCCATACATCAGCAAGACTGTGGCCTTGATTTGGAGAGGTGGGTGAGCTTTTTCAGGTGGGGTCCATTCTGGCTTGACCACAGCTGCTTATCCCCACACCTCTGACCTCCGCCACCCTTTCGTTTCACACGGAACTTGGGTCGAAAGGCTCGGTGATCCACCGCCCGGCCAGGCGTGGAGCAGAACGGGTGTTTTTTATGCTTGAGATGTTAGATATTTAGACCTGGAACCCGGAAAAGACCTCTGTTTTGCTAGGAAAAGACCATATTTGGGGTCATTCAGGTTCTAGGGAGCTATAGGACGAGTTGTAAGAAGCTCCCATGGTTATCTCTTTCTGAGTTTCTGTGTCCCCTTGCTTAATGAGTGTCAATGGAGAAGCGGGTTCGCGGCAAACCGAAATGGATGAACTTGGCCGTAGACGAGCGTCCAGAATTGGCAATGTCTTGAATCATGCATCACACTCCCAAGACTGTTACGGTGATTTCAGAGTAGATGGCACAAACCCCAAGATGTCTTTTGGATGGGGGTCCATATAAACCGCCTTTTGGGGTCTGTGCCATCTACTCTCAATCCACTGTAAAGCTTTGGCAATTCAAGGCATGCCCCAACCGCAGCTATCAGTCCACAGAGAAAAAGGGCTTTGTCAGTGAAACTCCGGGTGCCGACTTGGACCCGAAACTCCCCGAACCCTTCAGGAGGATGGGTTTTGAGGAGTTAGGGCGCGACGAGAACCCCAAGGTCCACAGCCAGGGCTGATCAAAACCAGGAACGGAACGCTCCTCGCGCACCGTTTTCGGCCTCGGCCTCGGTTCGGTTCGGTTCGGTCCGGAGGCCTCGGTCCGGGGGCGCCTCGGTCCTGCGCCCAGGTGCTCTTCGGATATCCAGGGTCCCACTACAACAACAACGACCAGGTCTTTGCGCCGTGGCCGAAAAGACACGGGCGCGGGTCTTTGACGGGCGCCCCCCCCCCCCCTTTTTTTCGAGGAGAACGCCCGCAAACCGTGCGTGCGCCGGAGATCGAGGGTTGTTGTTTTATTCATAAGTGCGAACACATCACCGCGGGCGGTGAGGTGTTCCGTTATTGAATAGAGTCTTGAATAGAGTGACCTTTTGAGTTGTTCATGGTGTTGGGATGTGGCCTGGATATGTGAAGATCAGCTCTCCAAGCTTCTGCAGGGAACATGGATCTGTGCAGCTTTTTGATCCATTGCAGTTTTTGGAAGAGCGCCTGCAAGACCCGCAGCAGCGCACAGCCGCTGCGAGACGAGGAACAGGGGCTCTTGCTGCCGCTGGCCAAAGCGATCAGGGCGTTAGTCTTAGCAGGGAAACCCGTGGTGTTGAAGAAGACCTTCAAGGTCTTGCCGACGCTTCACGGAGATGATCCGGGGCGGAACGGGCGTTTTTTCTCAAAGGCGACCACCCCGCCGAAGCGGAGGATGAGCGGAGGCGGTGATAGCCGGTGGAACTGGTGAATCCTAGTGGTCGGCAGATAGCCGGGGCGCTGGGGTGAGCTCGTGAGGGTATTGGGGTTCCACTTCATGTCCAGTTCTCTTTTTGGGGGACACCTGTCTCTCTTCCAACAGCACCCATTCTGGAAACACAGCGTCAAGGGGCTCTACAAACCACTCGAACTGCGGAACTGCTGGTCGTCCTTGGTTGAATTCGTGTTGAATTCGCATCCTTTTCAGCGTTTTTTTTCTCCAGGCCATCCGGCCAGTCCAGTCTTCAAAGCCAATCAGTTCACTCAATTGGAACATCTGGAACATCTATGGCCCCCAGACCCGGAGGACCCTCCATCCAGCCGGAGGGGCCAGAGGGGCAGCCAGAGGGGGGCAGCCATTGAACGCCACAAGATGGGTTCAGCGAACGGGGTCGTTGGATCCCTGTTGGGGTCCCGACCGCTGAAGGGGGGGCGAATCCTCTTTCCCCGCTTCTGGTAAAGAGGATTCTGGGTGTTCTTCACCGTGGACCACCGTGTGGGGGTACCCTGCGAGTCCTCTTTCGCTGCGTATGCTGCGTCCAACGCACGGGGGAGGTGATAGGAACATGTTGAAACCTTCAGACCCGGAATGTCGTGATCCCGGGATCCAGATGACCGTGGCATGGTTTCCAATAAGTTTTCCATGTGGGGATCTACCTGATCTACCTTTCTATCTATTTTGGGAAGCCCTACCCTAGCCTTCAGTTCGACCATTAAAAGAACGGTTGAGCTGGTGGTGTAGTGTAAGAATCCTTAGTAAAACAGTGGTTCTTTGGTAAAGACATGTAAAGACCATTAAGACAACGGTGTTTGAATCCGGCTATATAGATGGTCGAAGTTCTGGACATTCTAGAGTGTCTGTGGTAACCTCTTGTTGGATCGAAGGGTCTCTTCGGTCGCGAGCGACAAAAACCACACCGCGCCCGTGCCGCTGTGGATCCAAGGAATGAGTGGTGGGGTATTGAGGGGAACTGTGATGTGGAGATCGTCATGATCTACAACGAGGCGCCGTGGAAGTGGCTGGCACGAGGTGGTTGCTGCCGGATCTAGAGGTCGATGCTTCCAAATGGGATTCACCTATTTGGCCTAGTTTCCTGCGCGGCCTCTTTTGATCAACCCTGATGATAACAATGGAGAGCATCTTCGGGGATCGGATTTTGCTTGGTTGCAACAAGGGAGTCACACATGGGCTCGAGCCAGCCTCGTGCGGGGAAGTGACGGCTTTTGCTGACCTAAGGGCGGAACCTTCTTTCTTTTTTTTTTTTTGTGGTCTTCTTGTCCTTGGTGGATGAAAGCATGGAATCTTTCTGTCTTGGTGCTCCAAAACAGTGGACGGTCTGAGTCTTTCTCACCCGGACAGAGCAGCGGGACAGAGCCCCCCAAGCCCCCCGGACCGTGGGCTGTTGGCCGATGGTTGGCCCTGGGGGTGGTTGAAGAAGCATTCCAGTCCCAGAGTACAGTGTCATGACTTCATGACCTAATGACTTAATCACTTCATCTTAATGACGTATATAATGTTTGGGGCTTGGTTTACAGAGGGATGTTGGGTGGCCCAAGGACCTTGGTCGCCGTTGAGCATGTTCGAGCGCAAGAGTTTGGTGATGTCTTGGTGTTGATTTGATCTGAAACCCGTGAGTATCTTGAGTAGAACAATGGTTGTTGGGTGAAGACTTAGACGAAATACCGTGTGTGAGAGGATGCAGATTTTTTTCCATGCACACAAACAGAAGCATAAGGAATTCGAATGAACATGAACTTCGTCCTCCGATGAGGAGAGTTCGACACAAAGAAAGGGCCGTCCTCCGCCCTCCCTGTCCGCTTTGCAGGAACGTTTCAGAGTTTGGGAAACAGAGAGTTGGGCCCTTGACATCATGTACCGTAGACTCTGCGATGATGTTTCAGTCCCCCATCCATGTCTGGGGAGGGGTTAATTACTCAAGAGTCTACATAATAAGAACATAACACCATGACGAACAAGTGGCAGTGGAAAACAAGCCGGGTTTGTAGAGGAAAGTCATCTTCCCTCCCGGACCAGACCGGAGAAAGACTTGATGAAATCAAGCCTCCAGGCCAGGAGATGTTGAAAAGCATCCTGGAGATGAGGGGGGTTGAAATAGAATGAGGGGGGTCTGCACCCTGGCCTTCAAAGACAAATTTTTATGAATGGGAATGACCTGGTTTTGTGGTCTAAATCCTATATGGTTCTTTGGGATTCAGACAATTAAAGCAATGGTTGGCATCAAGTCTTCCCAGTCTGCACTCAAGTCTTTCCTCATTCAGTCTTCACCATCCGATTGACCACCTGGGTTGCAACGTTTGGATGGGACTGGCGAGAGTGTTTCTCTGACCGGTGTCTCGTAGAGAATAGAGAATGACACCTCACTATAACCCTTAGGATCCATTCCAGTGAGGTGTCAGTTCCTTACTGTAACCTATTCCTCACCTTATAAGGTTAGTAAGGCTCACTATTCCTTACCAAGCACCAGTCAGTTCTTTTGAGCCAGGCGGCAAACCTCACTTACCTGGCATGTGTGAAAAAGAAGCCATGTCTACTGCCACCTCAAACCCACGTCCACTGACACTCCGTCCGGCTTGACGGTCGGAGTCCGGATGAACCGTGGGGCGCGGCCGTGGCGCGGTGGTTGCCAGGTCTGCAAAGACTTTCAAGACCAGCTGCCAGCAGATACCCAGCAAGAGCTTGCAAAAGGGAAGGATGCTATGTCAGAGCAAGCCAGTGAAGATCTGTATGATCATGGCGAAGAGATCTGCTATTTCATACAGAGATTCACTGGGCAAGCACCTTTTGACCTTCTTTGGTCTCAAATTTTGGCGCCATTTATAGACAGCCACCCGATCGCTTCTGCTAAACAGAGCCCAGAGAGAGCCAAATGTTCAAGCCTGGAGCAGATTTTGGCACCCCCAAATACCCAGACACGACCAATGGGACTGCCATATGCCTACATTGACCCCCCAAACCACCACCCCAACTGATCAGCATATATGGCAGTCCCAGACAGGTCCTGTCGGGGATATTCTGTCAGCAATCCGTTGGACTCCTTGGGACCTTTACTTTCTGAGAAGAACAACAGCTCAGGCTCAGACGAGGAGTTTTCCGATGAAGGGGACGGATAGACATTTAGAGCGGGGTGCCAGATTTCATAAGAACCCACCATCCAAGCAAACATGTTGATAGAAGTTGATAGACGTATTAGTATACCTGGAACCCAAGCGACGTGTTTTCCATTTCTTTCCTATCAAAACACGGGTGAAACGGAGTGCTGTATAGGTATAGATAAAGACTAAGACGTCATGAATGAAGATGCAGACGCCATACGGTCTCTTGCTCGGCAGAGAGTTGTAAGGATGGTGCTTTTAAGAACTATCCACACTATTCGACCTTGTGGCTTGGCGATGGCTGGATCGATCGAGGTTCTTTCAGTGGTTTCTTTCGACCAGAACTGCGGTTCGAGTGACATGATATGTGGATATATGTCGAGGGCGGACACCCCCCAGGCAACGAATGGGAGTGAAGAGTTTGCTCCACACGCGCCAACCTTCCGCGAACCTTCCGCGAACGACACGGTTTGTTCGTGTTTGACATGGCTTGACGGATATCGGCGGCTGACTTCAAGCTGCAAGGTTCAACAATCCCCCTGACTGCTTGGGGCTGACGACTCCGCAGGCGCGAGCCACCGATGGTCCATGGATTCCACCGACCGTGACGGTCCCGAGTCGCCCGCGACTTGAAGGCCTTGTTGGTTGGGTAGAAGAGCTGGTTTGGGAATCTGAAGAGATCGATGACCGATGAGATCCTGCAAACCGACCAGATCCTTGCAGGGGTTGGACCATGCAAAAAGTACGGCGTTGGTCGAGAGAGCGTGCAGGTCGGTTTCTGACATCCTCTTAAGGTAGACCGTTGATGATCCCTAAAGGAGGGTAATATGTTTTTTGGAGAACGATTTTTCCTTTTGGAATTACCTCTATTTGATAGCTTTTGCAGGCTTGTGGCTTTTGCTTGCGTTTGGTGGCTTCTGGTGGTTTCTATGGGGAGGGTGATTTCAAAGGGTATTTTGCAGTTGTAGTTTTTTGTTTTTAGTGGTTAGGTGGCTTTGGTGGCTTTGTGGCTTTTGCGGCTTTGGTGGCTTATTGGCTTTTGTGGCTTTGTCTTCTGTATGGCTTTTGTGGCAGTATACTTTGTGCTCATTGCGGGGGAGGCGCTGAGCGGACATTTCTATCGTGATGCCTCTTCTATCGAAATCTCTACGTACTTTTTATGACGTACTTATTGAAATTCTATTAAATTCCGTTTGTAAGCGTCGTTTGTAAGGACTTTTCTATTCAAAATACGTACTTTTGATGCACTTTTCTAGTCAACATATCTACTTTTGATGCCTGAATCATGTTTGATGAATTGTCTACTTTACTAGTCACAATGTCTCATTTTGACCCATTACAATCGCTACTTTTGATAACTTTTTTGCAAAATCACTATTTTTTTATGACTTTATATTTTGAAATCTCTCTTTTGAAGAGTTCTCTATTGCATTCTTTGCTTTTGATGACTCTTCTAGACAAAATCTCTACTTGTAATGCCGTTCCCAAAAAAAAACACACAATTAAACACGCAACACAAATCCCGATTAAAGTCCCCGACCCTTTCTGTGGACTTTTGGTGGCTTCAGTTGGCTTTTGGTGGCTTGCGTTGGCTTTTTGCTTCTGTTGGCTGTTGGCTTTTGGTGGCTTCTGTTGGTGGCTTCGGTTGCTTTTGGGCGCGTGTGTTGGCTTTTTGCTTTTGTTTGCTTTTCTTTTCCTCTTGCCCTTTCCGTTTCCTTTTACCTTTCCTTTCCTCTTCTCTTTTCCTTTCCTTTTCCCTTTTCCCTTTCCCTTTTCCTTTCCTTTTCCATTTTCTTTTTCCCCTTTTCTTTTAATCCCTTTCCATTGCTTGTCCTTTTTCTTTTTCCGTTTCCTTTCCCTTATCCTTTTTCCTTTATAAGACAGCAGCCAGGAGCACAAAAAAAATACATCCAAACATATCCAAACTATATAAGAAAATAATTCCAAAATAACATATGATATGTACCCTTAAATAAGCGAGGAGGTGTCACAATCCAAATGGTTAGGTTGCATTTGATGGGAGCCTCGAGTAACCTTATGATCTACATTCTCCGTTGATGTTGTTGATCAAAATCCAGGAATGCCACATTCCAAACCATTGTGAAGTCCATATAAGACATCCATGACCCAAGAAAGACCAGCTGTTAACTCATCGGGCTTATTTGTGTATGTTCGCTTGTTCAAAGCTGTGTCAATATTGGCCAGTGGCTTGTTATGCCTATTTAAGGGCGAGCAAGACCTACTGTATGGCTTGAGTGTTGGGAGTCAAGTGAGGTTCCCCCGCCTCAGATCAACCAACGATTCTCATCATCTCAGCTCCTCTCTACCCAACTTGCCTATCTCTTGTCATCCTACACTACACTCTCCAACTACTTCTTGTTGGTTGGCCGGCATTGGCCCAACAGACGGCTCGGAACTCGACGTGTTGAGTTGCAACAATGGTGGGGCCAAATATGTTTTTCCTATCAAAACAGAGGTCAAAGGGGTTCTAGGTATATATATATATATATAAGTAGGAACCCCATTTTCTGTGAGATTCTTTTCCAACGTGTTGTGGGATTCTTTTCCAGGTTCTGTTGTCTTCGAGGAAGGAAGGAAGGAAGGAAGGAAGGAAGGAAGGAAGGAAGGAAGG